TGCAGAGTCCTGCACTTAGGATGGAAGAATCCCATGCACTGCTACAGACTAGGGACTGAATGGCTAGGTAGCAGTTCTGCAGAAAAGGACCTAGGGGTTACAGTGGACGAGAAGCTGGATATGAGTCGACAGTGTGCCCTTGTTGCCAAGAAAGCTAATGGCATTTTGGGCTGTATAAGTAGGCGCATTGCCAGCAGATCAAGGGACGTGATCGTTCCCCTCTATTCGACATTGGTGAGACCTCATCTGGAGTACTGTGTCCAGTTTTGGGCCCCACACTACAAGAAGGCTGTGGAAAAATTGGAAAGAGTCCAGCGGAGGGCAACAAAAATGATTAGGGGGCTGGAGCACATGACTTATGAGGAGAGGCTGAGGGAACTGGGATTGTTTAGTATGCAGAAGAGAAGAACTACCTGAAAGGGGGTTCCAAAGAGTATGGATCTAGACTGTTCTCAGTGGTAGCAGATGACAGAACAAGGAGCAATGGTTTCAAGATGCAGTGGGGCAGGTTTAGGTTGGATATTAGGAAAAACTTTTTCACTAGAAGGGTGGTGAAGCACTGGACTGGGTTACCTAGGGAGGTGGTGGAATCTGCTTCCTTAGAGGTTTTTAAGGCCAGGCTTGACAAAGCCCTTGCTGGGATGATTTAGTTGGGGGTTGGTCCTGCTTTGGGCAGGGGGTTGGAGATAGATAGATTTGAATCCATAGACTAAGAATATTATGTAAGCATCTGTCCATGGTATAATTTGCATTATATGGATTTAGATACCATAAAGCCTACTGCAACAGAATACATTTTCCAGGGTTAGGTGTCCCCTTTGTCTAGGGTGCCCAGATAGCAAGGGGGTGAGGGGTAATAGGTGCCTATATAAGAAAAAGCCTCAAATATTGGGACTGTTCCTATAAAATCGGGACATCCGGTCACCCTACTTTTGTCTAACAGCTTGGCCTAATGCTCATGTTTTTACTCCTGGAGACGCTAGCGTATACATGAATTTTGAATGGCTTTCAAAGTGCTGTAAAATACGATTTGTTCCCAGAGTTCATAAGCAACGGTAATGCAACTTCCTCTCAATGGTGCTGCCCCACATAAAGAGCATAAAATGATATGCTATCTCCTGAGTGCTAAGACAAGAGATGTAACAAGAAGGGTCAAGGATAAGGGCCAAGTGCTAAAGATGGAGTTAAATCGAGGTTTTCTCAAAGATCCTTTTAGTAGGTTGATACAAGAAACCAATTAATAAGTGTGCCAATGATACAGAGGATTTTATTTATGAATTATATAAACTTACATATATACATATATAATGTGTTTCATGGTTTTCTACCATTCTAAAGATTTGGACCACCAAATGAATTTACTGAAATGAAAATGTTATCCTAGTGATTTTGGGGTTTTTAACTTTACAATCCTGATTCCTATTCTTTTAGTACAACATCCTGTGAATTAAAGCTCCGCAGAGAGTAAACTCTGTTTCACAAAAGACTGAGATTCTGAAATCTGTTTTCATGACTATTCAGAACAACCCCCCCAAACTTCTAAATTCTCCACAACAGAAAGCTCTGATTTGGTTGCCGTCGTATAGTGATCAAAACATTTTAATTACTGTAACTCAAAGAAACACTGGTGAATAGTGGCTGAACAAGATCAGCTGCTAAACTGGAGGAGAGTCTGGGGCACAGAGACTGTGGCAGCAATGGCAGGAGGCAGCAGAATTAACAGGTGGAACACCAGTGGTGGTGACAGCGGAACAGCTGGTACACTGCTAACTCTACTCCAAATGATCTATAGCCATGTTGGCCATCACTGCATTCAGCCTGCATGTAAGCCAAATTCTTCCCTGCTTATCTTTGTTCCAATGTTACTGCCGAGTCACAGTGTCTCAAAGATTGTGTGTACATGCTGTTTCTGATTAGTTGTAATATTTAAACTATAGAGTTAGTATTTTTTTCTCAGTAGAGAGAACATACAAACAAAATAACTGGTAATAGCAGGCTTCTCACTGCTGTGATCTTTCTTGTCGGCTGTAGCATACTATGAAGGATGTTTCCAATTTGGGGGGGTTGGTTTGTTTCCTTTAGACAAACTTGGGTGTACAAAAAAGCAAAAAATCCTGCTAATTGGCACAACTTGTTATCAGACACAGAAGTCTCTGCTTTTCCCAAACAACTGAAAACAAAGTAAGTGGCAGCATGAAGCAGTAGGCTGCTGTGGGCCACTTGCTTCTAAGCACTTATTCAGTCTGACTCAGTTTGATATTATTCTCATTCACAGTTAACATACAGATATAAAAATTAGATCTACATAATATTTTTCAAATACCCAGAGGATTCAAAGTGATGATTATAAAGGGTGTTATTCCTCCAAAAGAGGAAAACTGATACTACTAGAAATTGTGAAATGGATTTTTAACACCAGATTCCCCAACCACAACCATGTCAGCATGCCCATGCATTCCTTTGTCTAACCAAATAAAACCCTCAATGAGATCTGGAGTAGAGTGGCCTGGGGAAAAGAAATCAGTCTGACTGCTGAAGCCTGGGAAGAGAGCGCTTTTTGACAGAAGGAAGACAATCCCTCCCTTGCCCACAAATTCATTTTGTAGATCACCCAGTTCTAGGTAAATAACAGTGAGCTGGGGGAGTCTGATTGACAATAACTTAAAGAGGCTCCTACTCTAGAAAGTGACTCTGTAAAAAGGGTATTATTCTGCTTAGAGAATGTGCAATGTGCCTCGGGTGGCAGAGGATCAGGATTCATCACGAAATTTGGTCCACTGGTTGGATCATTAGCTTCCCTGGCCAGCACCAGGTACTGATGTCATGACATGAACGCTAAACCATGTCCCTGGATGGCATGATGAGGCTCCATGTTTGCTGTCCCTGAAAAATGTCTGCTTATAATGTGATTAATTCACAAGTAAAAAGATTGCAAACTGCCAGCCCTGAAGTCTCAAACTTGGTTCATTTCTTCTTGAACCTCATTGTCTATTGTAAAGAATCTATTGGACAAATCCTGCCAACTCCACTGGGCAACCCCACATGTGCAAACACCCTGTCTTCAGATATGTCCTCAGTGACACCAGTGTAATATCATTGCTTAAGTGGAGTTGCATAGCTGCAACTGAGTGGAGATTAGCACTCATTCTCTTGACGCTGCAGAAGGAGAAATAGAATGCAGTTTATGTCTCTTAGCTGTGGTCAATTTCCACTCTGATTACACACTCTTCAGTGCTGTGACTTTGTCTTCCTGTTCATTTCCATAGCACATACATCATTTGTGATTTGATTATAATGAGAAGGGCCTTGGGCCGCTACAGTAACTCTAATAAATAATAGACTCTTCAGGGCTAGCAGGAATAAAACCCAGATAGAATGTTAGAGGTTTTGGTTCCAATTCTGCAAAAACTGACATACACTTAACTTTGCTCACAAGATTAGCTCCAACTTACTTTTGTGGTTGAAGTTAGTAGAGATGATGCCGAATGCACACAAGGAACAGTTGTGTTGAGTAAGGAGGTGCCATTTTTACATAGTCCCATCTGAGACTGGAACCTGATTTCAGACATGAGTAATGCAAGTGACTGCTGGGGGCCCCACACAGAATAGCAACTCGTGTGTTGACCTTGTACGTCACTCTAGCAGTGGGAACAGAGTGGGAGACAACATATGGTGCAAACCACACTCTTGCAGCTTGAGGTCTCAAACATCAGGAGGCTGGACCTGCAGAGATGTGGTATTTTTCTGCTCTCATTAACTTTAGCAACAGAGATAATGTTCGCTTTCCTACAGCATGGCTGATGATTCATACTGGGGGGGGGGGGGTTTCCAACTGAAACACATTGTAAAACTGCAACATTTTTTTATTATTACAGTATTGCAATGCGCATTGGGGCCAATATTTTCATACCTGGGTGTCAAAAGGGAAGTAGCTAAATGAATGGCCTAATTTTCAAGGTGATGAGCACTAACATACATAAAAACTGTGGATGCCTAGGACCTCTGCAAGCAAGGCTACTTATACAGGTACCTAAATACAGACTTGGGTGCTTGTTTCATCCTGCTTATTTGCATAGTTTGGCCTGTTTGTATACAGCAATGGTCTGATTGGCCAGCTGATCCTTTCTGATAATGTCTCAACCATGGACCAACTCAGAGCTGGGATTTCATCACACAAAAGAAGAGGAAGATCCTTCTATCCTGAATGTGAAATTGGTAAAACACCAAGGAAATTTAATTTAGGGGGAAAAAATTCAACTCCCTCCTCAATTTCCCATCCCCAGTTTCAGTGTTTTGCATCATATTATTCTGTTACAAAATACATTGCCTAGTAGAATAAGGAAAAAATAGTATGGAAAAAGCAATGAGCACCTTTTCACTACTGTTTTTCCATCTTCTCCCTATCCATATGCTTTCTCCATTTAACAAGCATTTTAGGTGGGTTTTCTTTTAAAATGTTAGAGGCTTTGGCTCCAGTCCTACAAACACACATGTGCTTAACGTTATTCACATTAATAATTCCATGTATTTCAATGGGACTACTCATGTGAGCAAAGATAAGCACATACGTCGGTGGCTGCATAAGAACGGCCCTACTGGGTCAGACCAAAGGTCCATCTAGCCCAGTATCCTATCTTCCGACAGTGGCCAGTGCCAGGTGCCCCAGAGGGAATGAACAGATCAAGTGATCCATCCCAAGTCACTCTTCCCAGCTTCTGGCTGCACAACTGGCTTTAGTGGTTCCAGAGGCAATTAAAGCTTAGAGTGTTTTCCCTCCTCCTCGACATAAAGAGCACTGGGTGATTCATTTAGCATGTAATTCAGTTTCTCCATTGTTACTCAGCGGGTATTAAACCTGCATCCACCATTAATTATAACGTAATAATAAATCGTAAACAGATCATGCATTTTTCTAATTCTACGAGTGTCAAAGACTGTCTGAACATGCAGCACAATAACTTTCTTGAAAATGAACATGCATAATGAAGAGCACAAAATACCTGTCTTCGTAGATCCCTTGTTTTTTTGGTCATCTTGTCAATGGCAATGTTCAGTGGGTCCCCTTTTTCTTTTCTCCCAGTCTATTAAAAAAATATATGTTTTTACGGTTAGGAAAAAAACAGTTCAAAGATCCAAAAAAAATACAGTCTAAATATACAGGTTTTAAAATTCTGAAAATATATCAAAAGAAGCATTCAGTACTTTCAAAAAACACCTAAATATCTATGTATACATGCAGTAAATCTATCTCTGTATTGCATGCACCCATCACAGCACAAATAAAGGTTTCTTTTCAATATACGTTATCAACCACACTATTAAGGGGACACTGCTGAGTATAGCAGATTTTTGAACAATTCATAAAAGGATAAAAAAAGGAGATTAATGTGACTTACTAGACAGTTCAGAACTTTTGCACTGATACATTATGTTTGCATACTATAGCACTTGCTGCCAAAAATGGCAAGACCTCTCACTATATAACAAATATTAAGAGTTTCTAATCTCTATCCTGCCGGGCGGTGGGTATGTTAAACATGATAATAAGCAGCAAAACAGCTTGAGAACAGAAGGAAAATGTTCCAAATGATTGTAACAAGAATTGTACTGGCACACATCAGATATAGTATAAAGGAGACTTCCACTTAAAACGCTCTCTTGTGCAGGAAGTCTCAAAGCAAAGATCCTCAATGAAGATTAAAAAGGGGAGGGGGAGAAAGGGGAAGTTTTCTGCAACTTAGGGTAAAAAAAAAATCTTTTTAAAGTTCCAAGGTACAAAAAAAGTTTTAAGTGACTGTCAGCTATATTATCTTTCTTTTAGGAGAAGGCTGCTTCTCTAAAGATTTGCTAAATTTCTTATCACATTGAAATCTATCTGATAGGGTTTTGTTGATCAAGAATAACAAAGAACTCTTCAATCCTTTCTCCCATTTTCTTTTCCCACATGTTTTCAAATATCATATTTACAATGATCCCCCACATACGATTAACCAGGATTTTGTACTTCCAAAAGAGCCTAACGGCATATGTTTATGGGATCTACTGAAAATTCACTTTCAAAAGGTTTTTTAAACCTACCCTTCCAATAATGATTTCTCTAAGACATATGACTATGCTATCAACTCTAAATGGTCATCTTCTCATCCTCTGCTTTAACCATTTTGCTGAGTCAATGTTTGACTTGTATTACTGTAATGTTAATTCTGATAAAAGGCCAATGCATTTATAATCAGTCAGGAATCTGTAAATCCTCTGCAGCTCCTCTTTTCTCAATCTAGAAATTCAAACATTACAGTAGCAAACGACAATAGGATTTCAAACAAAATACAATTTTACTCCTTAGGTTCAGAAAAAAAAAATCAATGATAAACTGATTGAAGTGAATTGTACACACCCACACAAGAGAATAGGGACTATAAACCCCTTCAATATTTTACAACAGAATATATTTGTGTAGCCCACTGGTGAGTTGGTAGTACAGGTGTGTCATCCCCCCTACCCCAAGGCACTAGTCTGTCAGTCAAGTTAGTGGGCACCATGTTTTTAAATGGTTAGCCTACAGTTTGTCAAGGTGAAATTTAACATTACAAACAAAGGAAAGAGATTTGGACTGATATGATATGTAATCAAAACATATTTGAATTGTGGCAACGGAAAGAGGGATTGTCAAGTGTGCTGGTCTATATAATATATCAATACAATCAAGGTGCTAGTTTAAACTTTATATTCTAAGTTGTACTCTCATAAAAAAAATCCAGTAACTCTGTTACATATATTTTAACTGTTTGCAGTAAAGCGGCTTAGTGACATTAGTATTCAATGCCACTTTCATTTCTCTGTTGAGAGACTATGTATGTAATGTATCAGAGGGGTAGCCGTGTTAGTCTGGGTCTGTAAAAAGCGACAAAGAGTCCTGTGGCACTTTATAGACTAACAGACGTATTGGAGCATAAGCATGCGTCTGACGAAGTGTGTATTCACCCACGAAAGCTTATGCTCCAATACATCTGTTAGTCTTAAAGGTGCCACAGGACTCTTTGTTGCTTTTTATGTATGTAATGTTATTTAAGGTCTCTCTTTCTCCTCTCTCTTCAAGCTGGCTATCAGGTGAAGTTCTAATCCCAGAGCTGTCGCAAGAGGTAAAACTGTATGAAATATTTTAATCCATGGATTGCCATCATAGGGATAATACCTCATCGTTATGTAAAAAGAGCTGCCGATAAACAATGCAAGTTACTCTGCATATTAGCAAAATGATAATAGTTAATATACTAATCAACATAATTTAAAGCCACTTCAGGATGAATTTTTTAAATAGTCACATCACTATTGTGGTATTGACTAGCATTTATGAACTAATTTGGTGCAGGGCAAATTTTTCTTGGGTCCTCCCTTGATTTCAGTGATGCAGAATCAAGCACTTCCATTTAGCACCCATTAAAAGGGATCATAAAGCTGCCCTGACCAGGTAGCTGGGAATTCTCCAAAAGTTCAACCCTCTCAGTGCAGGGGCCAAGCCAGGGCTGATGGGGGACAAGGATAGAGCGTGCTGTGCTATGGCTATCTCCAGCCATTCTAAGCGCCATTGCAAGGCACAATAATTTATAGCAGCGAACCTGAGTCTGGTCTAAATTATGCCATGGACTGAACCAACATCAAAAATCCTGGGGGAGAACAGAGATGGGATACATCCATATTGTCCTCCCTTCCCCTCATAACCGGGTCCTGTGCAAACAGGACTCTATTGCAACTGAGGATCTAGCCGTTGCAATCCAGTTCTGAATGTCCCAAACGTAATTTCTTGGGAGACTGTTCTGATGTCTTACACAACTACTCACACTCAGGGTAATTCTGGGTGACATTCAGTCTAAGTGTACACCATCTTAATCTCAACACATTATTTTGATTGACCCAATATGCTTTGGAAGTAATGTCACTCCCTCAGAGTTTATATATGGAGATATACCTATCTCATAGAACTGGAAGGGACCCTGAAAGGTCATCAAGTCCATCCCCCTGCCTTCACTAGCAAGACTAAGTACTGATTTTGCCCCAGATCCCTAAGTGGCCCCCTCAAAGATTGAACTCACAACCCTGGGTTTAGTAGGTCAATGCTCAAACCACTGAGCTATCCCTCCCCCCTGAACAATTCCTCTGTCATTGCTGTTTACATTTGTAAAGGGTTACAATGCCTCCCTCAGTACACAGTTTCAATCAGGAGAACAAGAGAAACACCTTAAATAAATGGTATTATTGGCAAAAATGGCATGGCACCGTGATGTTACATAGCATCCGGCAGTTCTGTCAAATGCCATCTGTTGTTGGCTGAAAATATATATGTTATAAAAGTTTATTTATTGTAGTCTTTAAAAACTCTTGTATTGGAATTGTTATGGGGTAGATCTTCTGCCTGGGTTCCTTGAAGGGAACTGGCTGACAAAGTGAGGCCCTACACTCAATATCAGGGGCATTTCTCTGTTCCTCCCCGTCATCCCGGGGGCATGAAAAGTACTTTGGAAGTGGGAGAGAGAGGCGCAGAACCTGTGGCAGGTGTGGGAGGAGGGAATGTGGGCCACACACAGCCCCAGACATGGAAGGGAGAAGGAAATGGGAGGCCCAAAGAGCCTCTGACATGAGGAGGTAGAATGGAGTAACCCAGATACAGAGGAAGGTGGAGATGCGGGGCACACGTATCAGCTTCAGCCAGGTCAATGATTCCATCATCACAACTCAAGCTTAACTATTCACATATTATTTCTCTGTCAGGACATTTTCACAGTACCATCTCCATCAATTTTAGTCCCATCCAAATAGCCCGGGAGCCATACCTCTCCTTGTCCGATTTCTTTTCAGCCAACTGGGATGGGTTTTTTTCAATGGGCTACTGACAAGGATCTATTAACGATTGTCTTCAAAAAATTGTGGAAGATGGGAAAGATTCTAGAGGATGGGAAAAAGACAAATATAATGCCTATCCATAAAAATGGGAAATAAGGACAACCCAGGAAATTACAGATCAGTCAGTTTAACTTCAGTACCCAGAAAAATAATGGAGCAAATAATTAAACAATAGATTTGCAAACACCTAGAGAATAATACGGTGATAAGTAACAGACAGCATGGATTTGTTAAAAACAAATTCCTAATAGCTTTCTTTGACAGGGTAACAAGCCTTGAGAATAGGGGGGAAGTGGTAGATGTGGTATATTTTGACACTGTCTCGCATGACCTTATCATAAACAAACTAGGGAAATACAACCTACATGGAGCTACTATAAGATGGGAGCAGTTATCAGTGGTTCACAGTCAAACTGGAAGGGCATATCAAGTGGAGTCCTGCAGGGGTCAGTTCTGTTCAATATCTTCATCAATGATTGATATAATGGCATAGAGAATACACTTATAAAGTTTTGGATGATACCAAGCTGGGAGGGGTTGCAAGTGCTTTGGAGGATAGGATTAAAATTCAAAATGACCTGGACAAACTGGAGAAATGGTCTAAAGTAAATAGGATGAAATTCAAAAAGGACAAATGCAAATGCAAAGTTCTCCACTTAGGAAGGAACAATCAGTTGCACACATTCAAAATGGGAAATGACTGCCTAGGGTTGAGTACTGCGGAAAGGGATCTGCGGGTCAGAGTGGATTGCAAACTAAATATGAATCAATGGTGTAACACTTTTGCAAAAAAAGCAAACATCATTCTGGAATGTATTAGCAGGAGTTTTGTAAAGAAGACATGAGAAGTAATTCTTCTGCTCTACTCCTCGCTGATTAGGCCTCAACTGGAATATTGTGTCCAGTTCTGGGCTCCACATTTCAGAAAAGATGTGGACAAATTGGAGAAAGTCTAGACAAGAGCAATAAAAATGATTAAATGTCTAGAAAACATGACATGGGAGAGAAGATTGAAAAAATGGATTTGTTTAGTCTAGAGAAGAGAAGACTGAGAGGAGACATGATAACGGTTTTCAAGTACATAAAAGGTTGTTACAAGGAAGAGGGAGAACAATTTTTCTTCTTAACCTCTGTGGATAGGACAAGAAGCAATGGAATAAATTAAAGAACTAGGGG